CCTAATTGACAATCATTATTTGAAAATTTTTTTCTACATATTTATTTTTAATCACACAAAAATATTCTACATTCATATGGGGGATTGCTGGAAATGATGGGTCAATTGGGTCAACTTTGACCACAATTTTAAGTGGGATCCGATGTTCGATATATTGAAATTAATGTTCAATTAAATTTTACGTTCCAAGTAGATGAGTGTAGAATATTTAATTGTGAAAAACCACTTCAATATGAATGAGAAATTATGGTTGAAGGTTGGACAATAAATAAGAGGAATAAATGGAAAAGAATTGGAAAAATATTCCAATAGGTTGCAAACACAACCTTGAACCACTTAATAAACTTCAAGTTTGGATATGAGTTTGAGCCCCAAAGGGTACCAATAGTCTTTGAAAGGGGGGAGTATTAGACAATGTCTAGACTAATCCAAAGGCCACACGCGCGCGCGCCACCGTCCGTCTGGCCGGGTGTGGGTGTGGGCTTGTGTTAATATTAATTTAATTTTTTTTTTAAATTCAATTAATTCCCTCCCTTTGATAGTTCATTAACCAACCCATCAGTGTGTTAAAACTGTGCATTAAGTGGATGTGAGTGGTGGATGGAAACTGCTCAACCGTCAACTCTCTTCTCTATTTGAATGGTCCTCAGGCTTTCAATTTTAAACACACACAAAAACATCACGAAATCATTCTGCATATATACTCTTCTTCTTTGCAATAGTTTACAGAGAGTACTTCCGTTCTGGTTCATTGTCTTGCAGTCGAAGTGTTGCTTCTGCAAGTATCTGATCGTTGTATCTTGGGAGACGCTTTACCACATACCATAAGCACCGTGTGACGAGGTAAAAACGTTTTAAGGACAGAGAGCCTAGTTTTCGCCTCGATCATCCTCATTCCGAATTCTGGATTTCTTTATACTTCTGTTTTATTCTGTGCAATTCATTTTCTGGAAATGATATTCTATTTTTACTGTTTTACAATTGTTCATCTGATTTAACAAGTCATTTATGGAAATCTGTTCTGTATAACAAATTCGAAAACATCAATCAACAAAAATTTATTCTTACTTTTAATCACACAATCTCCTAAAAATCATTATTCACAATATTTTTTTTGCCAAATAAGGATCATCAAACAGGGACATATATGAAATAAAATAGTTATTGAAGACTAGAATAAATAAATAAATAAAATATATATTTATATTTTAAAGTCATTAAATTTTAACAATTTCCTTATTAAACTTTAGTAATGTGAAGCACATGAAAAAAAAAATGGAATTTCGATTCAATTCCAAGAAATCAAAACCGTTGACGAATATGTGAAAATTTGTAACATGCGGAAATTCTTTTTTTATTCGTATTCAAGAAATTTAAAAATTATATCAGCATATAGTTTTATTGGCAAAAATTCATTCCACATAAAAAAATGTAATATGAATAGTTTAGTTTAGGATTTTAATGCTTATAACATGTTGATAATCTATAAAAGAATAAGAATTTTAATAAAGAAAAATTAGACAATAAAGATAAAAAAAAAATATCGTCAACAATAAAACAGCAAAAACGTAACTTATCCACCGGGAATACTTTAAAAAAAAAAAAAAAAAAAATTATCTTCAACTGCTTTAGTGACCGAAGCATGGTTGGTTGAGTCGATAAGGGCACCGAATACCCACTACTAGCTGTCCCTTGAAAAGTCCTATCTCCAACTGATTTATAATTCTTCAAGCGTCCCTTCTCGAATATTTTAATTCTTCAAGGGCCCCTTTTACAATTTGGAGGGGCCGCCCTGCTTTGGCTGCTTGTAATCCGTACATTTTTTGTGCAATTACGTCTCTTTATTCAAATGAGAGATAATGAAGCCACTGGTATTTTTAAAAAAGATTGAATCCCAACTTTGAAAGCTCTTATTATTTCGTTTTTGGAGTATCGTGAATGAGGTAAATTGAGGAATGTGTCTTAGTAGTCCAGCGAACAAGAGCTTGTCCGTACACTGATATCCACAAAGAATTCAATTCCATATTTCAGGAATCGAACTCTCACATTGTGGCTGTTAATAAAATTGAGACTACCTCATTTCTGTCTTTTGCACCACTAAGCTATGTCCGGAGGGCAGCCATTGGTCTTTTTAAATCTTTTTTGGAGTAGAGAAAGAGGGAGGTTACTGAATTATTTACGCTGTTAGTCAAGATGATGTTGACAAATTTTGCTCATCGAAAATAATTTATTTTGAATTAGTGTCAAATTAAGAATTAAAAAAAAATGTAGTGGAAAAGGCGGAAATTTATCATCACGGACCAGTACAAATTGAGCTGTACTGGAGAGACATGTACTTGGTGGACCATAAGCACAGTAAAATTAGGTCAGGGGATTTAGAGAGAGACTAAAGTCTTCATGTGTGATTATGTTTTATGGCCACTTCTCATCATAGATAATTGACACAACTAGTAATGACCTAATTCTTTTTTGGAAAGATGCATCGTATTATCCTTGAAATTCAAAGTAAGCAAATTTAATAGAGATGAATTCATCGTTTGATCCCATTATTTTTAAAATATATTTTTCTACCTTTACACATTTTTCAATAACATAATATTACGCGTAAACTCATAAATTTTCTTTATTTTTTTACTATATATTTTTCATCAATTTACTATTCCAAAATATATTTTTAGCCAAAAAAGTGCCCAAACAAGTATTAAATCTTGCTGAGAGTGTTTAAATTATAATTTGAATGCAAATTTTCTAGATAAAAAAGATAATAAATTGTGCATCAATAAAATGTGTGAATAAAATTATATTTTATCAATTTAAATTATAATTTTTACAATTTTACCTAGTGAAATTATTAATAGGGGTATGTGAATAGCCGAAGTCTAGTTCTTAATGACACATTTTGTATGTTTGACGGTATAAGATAAATGTTGTTTAAAAGAATATGTGTGAAATGTTCAACTAGATTTTAATTTCTTTTTCTTTCTTTACTTTGAGCGGCACATGAAAAAATTAACTCCACTTGCTTGAAGCCAAGCGCGGCTTTAGGTGGTGGCATTTTGTATGTTTCTCATCGACACAATTTGTATGTTTCTTGGTTAAGAATGGGATTTGAATGGAATTTGAAATATGTAATGGTTGTTTAATAGGTAGATAGATACACCAATATTGATTCCAAACAAAAAGGTTCTTTTCTCCTAGATGTGTAATTTCTCATAAATTCTTCTTACTTTACAATTCCTACTTCCTCTCTCTACGTTATCTTTGCACCAATCTTTGGTAAATTATTAATTATTTTTCTTTCTAATGTATTTTTATTTTTAAAATCTATGGACCGAACATTGTTTCGAAAATGATGGAGGATTGAAACTCCTATACTAGAATCCTTTGTAGAAATAAATAAAAAATATACCATATGTACTAGGTAAACGAACGAAAATTTTGACTGTTTTCGATTCTTCGGACTAAGTCAAGGGTAAAAATTTCAATGATCAATGATAACTATACTTTCAACTTTATTTTCTAGTTGTCATTGAACATTAAAATCTTTTTATATGTTAACAATATTTAAAACATACTTTTAGTAGTCATTGAACTTTATTTTTTTAATGAATTGTTACTAAACTTTTAGAATTGTTTCCTAATCGCTATTTTAAAGTTTTAGTCCATGTTTGATGAGGATAAAAATCAAATTTTTAGTAAATTTTGATAGAAATTGATGAAATGGATGGTTGAGAAGTTGTGAGACCTATAAATATGTTATTAAAATTAATTATTAACTTTAATTTAAATTAAAATCTAGCTTTTAATTGATATCAAACAGGGGCTTAATATTATTTTTCAATAATGTTACGTTGCTTATATTTTTTTAATTTTATTTTTGACCCCTCACAATAAAAATTGTCTGATTCCATCACTGTTGAAGCACTAGCCCGTGATGATGTAGAGAATGCACTTTTTGTTGCCGGATCGATTAAATTGCTGGCTTTTTAACGCAATTGTAAATATGGCAAACGTCCTTATCCATTCATTGAGTGGCATTGGCATAGAAATAAAACTGGACAAGTTTAGGTGACCAAGTTTCATTGTAAGAATGAAATCTATGCCTATCGTTTTCTCGTTCAAAAATTGTCTTATCAAAACCATGTGCCTATTTGTCGCTCATTAAAATTTCAAATTGTTTGCTATATTATTATTTTTCATCATATATTCATATAATAAAATATTTTACTTACAAACCAATAAATTTTTTTTACTTATGAACCACACATTTTCAAAAAAATATTATTTAAAACTCCTTAATTTCCCTAATAATGAACGACAAACAGGGGACTATATAATAGCAGTTGTGCTGGGTGTACAGCAAGCCATACACCGAGGGGGGTCCACAAATATAATATTCATGTGGACCCCCTCACATTGTGAGAGGGTTGAACACTATAGTACCCGCCATGGTGTACAAAAAGCATTTTTGATATAAAAGATGTGATGCACTTATCACAAATCATTACCATTACGAATATGCCAATTCGAGTTTTTGTTTGAAATCAAGTTGATGTATTAGAAAATGGCCGGTTAGGTTTAGAGAGGGACAATTAATACTAAAATATTTAAAGAGAGAAATCATTACCATGTTACACGCAACCTTTTGTTTGAGTTTACACATGGCACTTTATTACCCCCTATTTGTCCCATTATTCCAAAAATTTATTTCTCTTTATTATTTTCAATCATACAATCTTCTATAAAATAATATTACACATAAGACGATAATTTTTACATTTTTTTAACCATATATTTTTCAAAAAAAAAAAAACTATTCCAAAAATTATAATTACCATAAAGTAGGGGCTACATGAGGTTCGATAAATGAAATTTACACTATCTGATGAATCTCGTTGGAATCAATTGTTGAGCTAGAATTGCCTTGCAGGGGGGTCCAAATTCCAATAATGTTCGGGAACAAAACATATATGTAAATATTTAAAAAATCAAAAAATATATATAATAATTGAAGCATTTATCCAAACGGTATGTTTCACTAACTTCATATTTACAATTTACGTAATTAAAATGAAATTTAATTGAAGTCTAGAAATAAACATCAAACAATTTCTCAGTTATAATTTGTATTAAGTAATTAATACAAAGGCACTGCTATTCGAGGTGGTGGCTTGGGCGGCTTCTTCACCTCAACTGTGACTTTCGCACGTACCGATGACTCACGCGGGCATGGCATTGCTATGAACCTTGGAACATCATCCCCAGCCATTATAACCGGCAAGCTCTGGTTCTTCTCTTGCTTTAAATTCTGGAAATAAAACAAGAGATGATCAGTACTCCATGAGACCAAATTACTCAAAAAAGTAGATGTTTTGATAATAAAATAGAAATTAATTCAGTTATTTTCAATTTTGATCAACAAAAGTTTTATTACTTTAAAACTTACCGTGTGGAGGACTTTAGGTTTGGAAGGGCCTTGATCACCATCTGCCTCGAGGTCGTGGTCCGAGCGGCGGAGGGAGCGGAGCTTATCCCAATGGTAGAGGCAGGAAAATATGCCACTAAGGCTAAAGATCACGACCAAGAGGAGGGCAGTCCCCAAAGGAAAGCCTAGAGATGGCCGAGATCCCTCGCTGCGATATGGACTCTCCATTACTGCTTCTACTTCCCTTTAATCCCACTCCCCTCATCGAGGGTGCAACAAAGCACAATTAATTTTTATTTAATCTAATTCGTGCAAAAGATAAATGATATAAATTTTTTATATGTGACTTTAAGGCAAAATAGGCTCAAGATTAAATTTAAAGGGACAACGGAAAGAGAGTTTTAGTTTGAGGCAACGAGAAGAGAAGAGGTGGTGCGTATTTATAGTATAAGGCAAAGGGTGGTTATGTGTGCACATTGCTGTCCGGGAAATGGTACGGATGATGGACTACGCACGCCACCTCCACTCCCTAAACGCACACATTTTTAAAGTTCAAACTTTGTTTTGAAGCAGTTGAGTGGGAGGATAATATTATTGTTTAAGGACAGTGGTGCGCACGAAAGCTCTGTTTCATTTGCTTGTTTACTGACAAATTAGCCAAGGAAGAAAAATGAAAAATGTGGAAGGTTGAAAGATTTTTTATTGATTATATTATTTCTTTTCATTGGGTAGTAGTAGGAGGAGGCACCAATAGTTCAATTTTGGAGCTCGACTCCTCTTCCAATCAATTAGGCACACTAAAATGATTTTTATCCATCAATTGTGAATTGAATCTTTTATTTTTTTCGATATTGGGTTGTGAATAGTTGATAATTCGAAGAGTAGTATTATGTATCTCACTGGTGCCAAGTCTTGATGGTAGACCTCACCGCTTTACAATACATTGTAGTTAAACATCATTTTTATTCATTGAACAATAAAGTAGTGAAATCCACTGCCACCTAAATTAGTCTCGAGCTCCAAAATTTATTCTCTTTAAAATGAACTGAATCACTAGGGGCCTCTTAAAAATGTTCAACCTAAAACTTACCCTAAGGACCTGTCCAAAATTCACCTAATTAAATCCTGCTTTCTTTTTTGTAATATTGTCTTCCGAATAATGGAATTTTCATCCGATTTTGGCGATGCAAAAATGCTTTTGGCTAATTTCTACTTCTGCATATGTGTGCAATTTAAGGGCACACTTTTGGCTCATTATTTAGGCTTTTATTTTTCCCTTTTGCATTGGTATGAGTTTTTTGATTTATTTAATATTATGTGTGCTTGTTGATTTCTCTTTTGTTTGATATTGTTTAGTTTTATTCTGTGAAACCTCATTGGAACATCATTTTCTTTGGTGAAATGAGTTAATTACTGTACTAGACTTTCTTGTTAAACTTAGAAATTTGAAGAAAATGCACATTTGGGCAAACCTCTTAATTCTTGAAAGAATTATTTGCTATTGGAAAGATAGCAAACTCTATCTAGTTTTAAGGTTTTTTAAGCCTTTTAGCGATGCTCAAATAATTGGTTTTGGCTTGTAATTAAAGATTTTCATTCGACTACCTGAAATGATTAATGCTATATTACATGAATATGGGATTGGTGAAATATGCTTTATGCCCTTTGTTTGGTAATGTTATAAAGGATAGGAAGAATACAAGGAAAACCTGATTCATTCAAACTGTGTGGTCAAAAAAATAGGTTTTAACAATTGATGAATTATCACTAGCAAGTGCATTTTATAGATGGGCTTGAAATTTAAGACAAGTGTAGGGAAGTAATAGAATTAATATAGGCATTTGGGAGTTTTTGGACAGTTTGAATGAAGAGAGGAGAGTAAAAGTGGTTGCCAAGCTTTTATTTTGCAATTATAGATTTTAGATTATAAAAAGTCTTTTTTTATATATATACACACACTTGTAAAAAAAATGAAAATTATAGGGCCTTATAATAATAAGCCGTCTAGGGTCTCAGAATTCTCAAGGCCGACCCTGCAAAAAAGAAACTCGGTATGCTTATAAGGTACTATCGGTTGAAACTTTATAGTCTCTATAAAACAGTTAGATGTAAAGCCAAATATGAGCAAGTGAGAAGTGGACATGCTGCTTTTCCCAAATGGATCCAAAAAAAAAATAAAATTCTCATTTGTAGGCTTTTAGTTGGATCACGCTACTGGGCCTGAAGAGTAATGTATTTTTAATGGTGTAACAATTTCTTTTTTCCTTTTTTGTTTAATTTTATATTGTCTATTGGATCACGCTACTGGCCTAAAAAGGACGATTTGCACACCAAAACCTTTTTTTGAGGACTGTTGTTCCAACATTGAAAGAATATATCGTAGTTTCGCACAAGAGCTTTAAGTTGGAGATGACATGCGTAAATTATCCAATCCTATAATTTTACAATTGTAAAGATTAAACTAATATTAATTTCCATTTATTATCAAAAACAAAATGTAAGTTTTAAATTTACTGAATTTCCGAGGTAATGTCCAATGAACTCTTCGTCGATTCTAATTTTTTTATTTCAATCCAGGAGAATAAAATAACAAAGATATATCATTATAATTTTGCTAGATCATTAAGTATTAAGTTAAATTGCACAAGACGGATTAAAGGTGTGTAAAAATATGTGAAACTATTAAATTTTTTATTTAATAATTAGTACTGTAAATAATTGTTTAGAAAAAAAATTGATTACTGATTATTACAATTACGAAGGATATGAGAGCTAAATTTTTCTTGCTTTTCGAAAACAGTAATCTGGAGCTTCACTATAAAAAGTAAAAATGAAGATAGAGACTAGTTGATGGGGTTGGATAAAGGCTTTCAATTATACATTGGCCTTTGTTCCTATCGCGTCCAGTCCATCATCAATTTGGGCATATTAGCCCAAGATTTGCCTTTAGTCAATCACTAATTCTTAAAGGTAGGATAGCCTTTCACCGTCTAGACGCCCTTGTTGTTCCAACATTGAAAGAATATATCGTAGTTTCGCACAAGAGCTTTAAGTTGGAGATGACATGCGTAAATTATCCAATCCTATAATTTTACAATTGTAAAGATTAAACTAATATTAATTTCCATTTATTATCAAAAACAAAATGTAAGTTTTAAATTTACTGAATTTCCGAGGTAATGTCCAATGAACTCTTCGTCGATTCTAATTTTTTTATTTCAATCCAGGAGAATAAAATAACAAAGATATATCATTATAATTTTGCTAGATCATTAAGTATTAAGTTAAATTGCACAAGACGGATTAAAGGTGTGTAAAAATATGTGAAACTATTAAATTTTCTATTTAATAATTAGTACTGTAAATAATTGTTTAGAAAAAAAATTGATTACTGATTATTACAATTACGAAGGATATAAGAGCTAAATTTTTCTTGCTTTTCGAAAACAGTAATCTGGAGCTTCACTATAAAAAGTAAAAATGAAGATAGAGACTAGTTGATAGTGTTGGATAAAGGCTTTCAATTATACATTGGCCTTTGTTCCTATCGCGTCCAGTCCATCATCAATTTGGGCATATTAGCCCAAGATTTGCCTTTAGTCAATCACTAATTCTTAAAGGTAGGATAGCCTTTCACCGTCTAGACGCCCTAAAAGGAAGGGTCCGGCGGAATTGTTCCCCAAAGATCAAGTCATAGGTCCTAGGTGAAGTGGAAGGAGTTAGGACGACGGAACACCCTTTGTCATAAAATAACAGGTTTGTCGGCTTGGAGAGAAAGGACTCGAAGGACTTCAGCCTACCTATAGAAGAATCATTTTCCGTATCATCGAACTTTACTTAACTTTATTTCTTGCATTACTCGCTATTCGGATGCCCTACTAAAATCTTGATTGGTACAAATTTTTAAAGAAAAGGTATTGTTTTTGGAGAATGGGTAAATTGTGTCTCATAGAATATTGATGAAAATGGCCTATAGAATGTGTACTTGAAAATGATTTTGTAAAAAATTGATATAAAAGAATAAAAAACTTTTAACAAAAGTATGAAAATTGTCTTGAAATCTTCCGACGTGGATTCATACTTAAATCGCAAATATATTTGGCTCTCAAAATGTAAGTAATAATTCAATTTGAGGTCTTATTTGAATCCTATAAATAATCAAAATAATTAAATTTTATACAAATACTTTCTACTAGAATTATAACGTCGTGATATTACATAAATCGATTTATAGCAAGTGGAATTTTGCCAAACCATATACTGATCAAACGTTGTTTAAATATTCAATGTCGCGTGCCTTAATTCATCGGATTTTCATAAAGCTTGAAGTAAAATAAGCCTAAGAATTAAGAATAATAAAATCTAATTATATATTATTTTCTTCCCGTCCAATCACGTAAATAACCGTAATATCTTATTAAAATAATATAACAGAAAAAATAACTTCTCCGACCTTTGTCAATTGACACCTTTAATACCTTATATTTTACTTTAAGGTGCAACTATTAAGGGCTCGTTTGGTAGGGATTTTGAGAATTGATTTTTTGACGTTAGAAAAAAAGTGGGGTCCACGTGTGAGAGAAGAAGTCAAAAATTACGGCTTGAATAGTAAAATAACGGTCAAAAAATCAATTTTTTGGGGCAAAAAATCCCTACCAAACGGGGCCTAACTTCGATCTCCCAGTAAGGCACATTTTACACAAGTACAAATTTTGTCAATTGATTTTGTCGACGAGCATTTATAGTCTAACTCGTGCATCTGAGTGATTAGCTATCTGTATCATTTCCATCTCGGAAGGTCGAACAAATTCGCTTTCTCTCTATTTTGCCCAGTTCGAAAGCTCCAACTCTATAAGTTTGACGTGGTCCAACAATTTAAGATGTCAACGCTTGAATTATAGTGATTTGGGGAGCCAAAAAAAAAAGGCAGAACATTTATTAATGGCCATAAAATATTCTGACATGTCCTTAAATACTGTTAGGAAACTGTGCTCCGGTGATTATTCCAGGGCCTTTTTTAACATCATTTGTCAAATTTTCATCGGATCAACTAGAAAAGCAGGAATCAATATGATTTAAAGTGTAAATTTTATTTTGTAATTGGCTAATTTTTAAGACAAAAATTATAATTTATTAAAATTATAATAGGAGTTAATTATATTGTAATCAAAGTCAAAATACGTTTAGAATAGTCCAAGTTATGGTAAATATATAATTTGGAGTTGATAAAGTCCAAAGATAAGTAAAAAAAAAAATCCAACAAAAAGATCAAGATTTGGACTTGAGGAAGTTGGTGCAGTGTGACACGTTCTAGCTAGTCTGTCACCCAATTGACATTCAAGCGGTAGAAGTATAATGTCTTTCACTTGCCTAGCGCTAGATTGATGCTTGATCGCTTGTCTCTAGCTCAGCATTTGAACGATAATGTTACGAGACAGAATCATCTCTACTTTAAAACACATGATTTTTTTATCTCTATTTCATTCCAAACACATTTCCCTATGTATATTCTACCCTATGAACATCCAAAAGTGAAAATGAATCATATTATTTAATAGTGATAGTTTGTGGAAAATCCAAATCATCATTCCTTGATCTCTAGATTTAACCATCATATCATTGTGATCATAAAATCTTTCCAAGCCAAGATACTTCGTTGAACCATAAATTATTCCATTAATTGAGAGATATATATTGAGCCAAAGATTTTCACATCCTTAGACATTAAAACATTGATCAAGACACAAAGATTGTTTGATCAAACGTCATCCAAAAGAATGAGGAATTCTTCATTTAATTCAGTGGAGATAAATCAATACCAAGAACTGGGAACTGTTTAATTTTTTTTTTAAACATATCAGTCAGTTATATGGAGAGTATTTCAAAGTTACTTTTAAATAAGTAATTTTATTTACTTAACTGTACACAGAAAGTTTTGTATCAAAATGTTTAAGAAACGCTTAAAACTTACTTTTAAGCCAAACACGATCTTAAACAAATGGTTTGTACCAACCTTGGTTAATTAATTGAAGCTAATCCTCATCGATTACTGCCTTCATTAAAGTCACCGGCAAAAGCGGAGGTCTAACTGGTGTTGGGTCCCCTTGTCGCGGCACAGCCCCGCACAATCTATGGACCGAAACCTACCATTTCCATTCAATATAATTGTGCTTTTAGTTTTCAATTACTCCCCCTGAACATCACTTTCATACCCAACAACACTTATTATTATTCATTATATCACTTCTTTCATCCTTACTCCAAAATAGTTTGTGCATTTTGTATTAGGGCTTATATTTTAATTTTTTTTTTCAATATTTATAAATATATATGGTATTGATGTTTTTGAAGGAGAAAAGATGCATTCTCTTCATCAATTCTATTTGAAAAAGCATAATACCAATGGATCGTGTAAGACATAAAATTCATTGTATATGTCTACCTTTAGGGACATTCTACCGTAACATTTGCACAAAGAAGCAAAATATGTGAATGTTTTTCACATTGAGGATTGCATGAAACACGATCACGTAGTGTAGCATTTGTTAATTCTTCACCAATATATTTGTGAACAAAAGCACCCTTAGCTTGTCACCATACTAGAGAAATTTCAACAAATGTAAAACTCTTTTTCTTGTAGCGTAAATGCAACTAGGGCTGAATTTTACCTACGGTAATAATGTGATTATTGAGTAATTAACTTCTTGTGCCTATATGTATTTGCAAATACAATAATTGTATACTTACATTTTATCTATTTATAATGAAATAATAAAAAAAAAAAAAACCACAAAAATGAGTGGAGCCTAGGACATCATAATTCAAGAGTCTTAATCATTGTTATCCAAGTTAGGCTAATTCATTATTATTATTTTTTTATTCACAACAATAGTGAAATCCAAATGATTATTCACTTGACCCCATATTCATTATATAGTTCTGGACTGGCTTTGATAATACAATTAATATAATTTTAGTATATTTTCTTTCTTAGAGGCCACTAAAATAACAAGATAACAAGTATCGAAAACCTTTTTTACATTGGATGATTTGATTTTTTGACGAATCTTACCTTATTGGTTACAACTTTTGTATTTATTATAGCCTTATTTTTATTCCTCTAGTAATATTGGCATTATTAAAGAAGTTATGAATTTCTACTTTACGAAAGTAATAATATTCTAGTTTCCATTATTCATATTCCTAGAGCTACATATTTGCACTTTTACCCAATTTTGGAAGCAACACCTACTGATGAGTCCTTATAGCTAATTGTTATACGCTACAGTTTTATGTAATCTACCTTTCTATCATGCCATATAATTTAATTAATTACTTGCAACTTTACGTAAAATGAATAGCCTATATAGGGTCTGTTTGGTAGTGATTTTGAAATTTGATTTTTTGACCGTTAGGAGAAAAGTGGGGTCACATGTGAGAGAAGAGTCAAAAATTACGGCCGAAATAGTGAAATAACGATTAAAAAATCAATTTTTTGATGTGAAAAATCACTCCCAAACAGGTCCATAATTTAATTAGTCTAATAATTCCTTCTGCCTAACAAAATTGAGAGGTTTAGATGATCAATGAGAAATCAAGAAAAGGTTTTGCATGTGTCAAGAATTCGCTCAATTTGATAGAACGTTCAATCTCATTTATTAAACAATATTATATTATTAAATTTTATATAAACAAATGTTCGATAGATAGCACTTACCGTATTCGTAGGCTCGGATTTCTTTGTGAGATATATCATTTGAAATGTATGAAATCACTTTATGATTCATGTTCCTGATTTTTCTACTAATAACCTAAGTAAAAATTCCAAGTATCACTTGTCATAATAATTGTGAGAATTCATTCATTTAATCATTCTTTTCTTTGTTTATGTCTAAATTTTGTTATTCTTTTACACGGAATCTAGTTTTGTTAAGATCATGATATATTGTGATATTTACATGTTTATTCATCTTTCCGCATTACACAAATCTAAAATAAAATAAGTGAAATTCAAGAAATTGAACACATTAGAAATAGCAAGTATATTTTAAAGATACATTAAATACATAATATTAAACAAAATAATTGAAAAATGTATAATTTTATTTTTAAATTATCCAATATTATATAACAAATCAGTGAAAATATCACATACAGACACAGCTAGTGATGTGTAATGAGGGAAGGGTAATATATAAAAATTTGTAGATGAAATGAAAGAGAGAGTGGGGAAGCGTGCAAATGTAAGTGGAAGCTAATGATTCTTGAGCGACCAAGCATGTAACAAAAGAAAGATTTTCCGCCCTGGTCATAGTCCAGTGGTACAAAGGACATGAGTGAAGTTATCTCACGACTTGTTAGAAGTCACAGTGTTGAGATTCGATTTCTGAGACATGGAATTAGACTTCTTGTAGATACAGTGTGCAGACAATTCTTGTTCCCTAACCTGTTGGGACACATCCCGTGATTTACCACTCTCACAAAACTCTAATGATGGGACGGTGGAGGCTCTTAAGGTTGAGGTTCAACCTTTTTTAAAGAAAGATTTTGCACATAAAAACGATCAATTATTTGGTAGAATAAAGAGAAAGAGAAGGTCTTATGTAAAAATAAATAATAAAAAGGTTTGATTAAAGAGGTTATTGTCCTATTCACCACCCGACAAATCAAGTTCAATTGCCGCTTTCTTGTCCCCTCCACCACATCACTATGACATTTACAATCCCAACCCCCATATCTCTCTCCCTTTGCACCCAGTCAACCCTCCCTACTTCTTATTTACTTTCTTCGTCCTTTACTTTTACTTTTATCTATTTCTACCCCACTCCCTACACTGTTTCTTACTAGCCTAGTGTAATACTTTTGAGTTAATTTTCCATTGGCAAGCTGCAAGTCAGCAAGTGGGATCTCTTTCTTTTCCCAAAATGCCCTTGTTTTCAGATGATGGACCCTAGGGAAGTTTGCATATGAGAATTGCTTTCACTTGTATCTTTTCATCATTTCACTCGTATCCTAATATAAATGCAATAAGTTCAAGAGCATTTGATTTTGATACTCCTTTTGGCTAAACCAAAACACGGTTATCTTCGTTGCTCGTGTGACCATTACTGAGTAATCTGTGTTGCATTTATGCTCTTTTTGATATTGGTCATTCAAAATTATTTATGAGGCAACCTATTTTAATAAGATGAGAACGAAAATACACTCAAAAATATTCTTGAGTTTACGTTGGCTCAAAAATTTTGAATTTCATGGATTTGATTCAAAATGCTCACAGTAAATTATTTGAAATTAAAATGCATTATGAACATTAATTTTAAAAAGAACAAAAATGACATCCTGCATGAATTATTCCAAGTTGACACAAATTAAAAGAGTACAAAATGGAGGGTTATTATCATGCGCACGGGGGCCGCAGTCCTTTACCAAAGTATCCAACGACAAATAATCTTAACTTTTTATTTTTATATTTTTTGCTCAACTCATTCCAACAGGTAAAAATGCCCCCCCTTTTTTTTTCGCTCAATCAGAAAGTACCAACAAAAAAGGTGATTCCGCCATCAAATACAAGGAAGGGTAAATTAGTCATTTCAATAACTAGCATTTATTACCAGACGGCCAGAAAGTAAAAGCAGAGAAGAGAACTGTCTTCGCGAAACTGTAAAAAAGGCATAATTATCAGCTGATTTACCACGTGCCGGAATGACAGGTAATTTTATGATCTGATCACTTTCAACGGCCATGATTCACTTACAGCAATCGACACCAGCCGCTGGATTAGAGAAAAATTAAAAACGTACCCAACTTTTCTCCATAATTCTCTTTTAGCCCCAAAGAATCGCTCTTTTTTTCTTCCAAGCTTTGAGTTTCTCGGCAAAACAAAAGAGCTCTCTGATTACTTTTGTTTTTAGCTTTCTGCTTAATGGAGGGACCTTGAAACTCCTCTCTCTGCTTTGCGTTTCGTACATTTCCTACAGTTATTCAAGCTCTCAATCCTCATCTGCTATTAACTTGTGCTAATTCTACTCCACCCACTTTCAGGATTATTTATCAGGTATGCACTTTAATTTTTTTAACATATGTATGCTTTCAACATTTTTGTTTGACTTCATAATTTTTTGCGTTGACGAAGCCAAACTGAGCTGAGATCTTGAGATTTGAGGGATTTTTTGTGGATTTCAACCACTGCTTGGTTATTTGAGTTTTACAGCTAGTATCCTGGATTATTTCTTTTTTCTTATATTGTCTAAAATTTCTAGATTTGCCTCTTTGTTTTCCCCTTGAATTTTCTCTGGGTTCATTTCTTTTGATTATGGTTATTCCGAAAACCTGAGATACTGTCTGTTATTTTCCTTTATCTGGTGATTCAATGTTTCTTTGACTAAAAAAAATTTAGAAATTATTTTTCTCCACCTATCTGAGAGTGGGTATGCATGTCTCACCTAATTATTAATAAGAATTCTTTTTGAAAAAATGAACCGGATTCTGGGTATGTTTTACAATTCTATATTTTGGGATTTTATCCCTCTTATCAAAACTTTGTTTGTGCATTGGTTAAATATTTATCTGAATTTGTTTGCTTTAGCAAGCGAAATCAACATAAACAATAAGTTGTTCTTCAATGGCTCCTACAAGAAAATTCATGAAATGAGATTTTATGACAATAGTTTTCGAGCTCATGGTGTATGTGCTTGTGATCGACTTGTTAGTGTATTACTAAACAAATATAATTTGTAGCAGGTCGTCGGGCAATTTTAAACTTTATTTATCTGATGTCTCCACCGCTGTTGGATGTTGAGGGGGGTGGTCGGGGTAATGCTCCATTGATGTCATCTTCAGCATCCGGGGACTGTATTTCCCAGAGTGGCTCGGGGTTGAAAGAATGCAATTTTCTGGGATTGTCTGATTGTTCTTCAGTGGACAGCTCAGCAGTCTCAAATGTGTGTGAGAAAAACAAGAATAATTTGAATTTTAAGGCCACGGAATTGAGGCTTGGTCTTCCTGGATCCCGATCCCCAGAACGAGATTCAGACTTTAGCCTGCTGAGTTCTGGCAAGCTCGACGAGAAGCAGTTGTTTCCGTTGCTTCCTTCCAAGGATGGAATCTGCTCGTTGATGCAGAAGTCCATTGTTTCTGGAAACAAAAGAGGATTCTCAGACACCATGGACGGATTTTCTGAAATAAAAAGTTCTGTTTTTACTGAAGGAAAATGGATGTTCAATGCTAATGGTTCTGACTCTGGAACTCCTCAATCTGTTGTCGAGGCTAAGTTAGCTGGCAATGCCGGAATAAATGTGATTCTCGCAAACAATTCATCCGGGGCTCAGCCATCCATGAAGAAAGAGGTGCCTACAAGAGCACCAAAGGAAGGCCAAAACAAGATGAATGGTTCTAACAATAACAGCAGTGCACCTGCTGCTAAGTAAGTGCTTGAACTTCAACAGACCGAACCAGGGAAAAAGATAATTATTCATAGGCGAAATCTTGTTTAAAAGTCTGAGGCATGCAACTATTAATCGAATCTTTCACACTTTGCAGGGCTCAGGTGGTTGGTTGGCCTCCAATCAGATCTTTCAGGAAGAATACTTTGGCCACAACCTCAAAGAACAATGAAGAAGTTGATGGTAAACCTGGTCCTGGTGCTCTTTTTATCAAGGTCAGCATGGATGGTGCTCCTTATTTGAGGAAGGTGGATCTCAGGATGTATTCCACATATCAAGAACTTTCTTCTGCTTTGGAAAAAATGTTCATGTGCTTTACGATAAGTAAGCTTTTCTTCCTATGGAATCTTTAACACATTCAATATTTGGTTTATGGGATGTCATAGGTATTTTTGTATTTTGGCTTCAGGAAAATGTGGATCCCAGGAAACTCCGGATAGGGAAATGCTGGGCGAGAATAAGTTCAAGGATCTTCTGCATGGATCAGACTATGTGCTAACATTCGAGGACAAGGATGGTGACTGGATGCTTGTTGGAGATGTGCCGTGGGGGTGAGTTTCTTGTTCTACCTGCTCTTTTTTTGTGGTTATATTGCCACTTTTTTCATATGTGCAATAACATAGAGAATAGAAGCATGAATTAGTCTACCGTGTCTTGTACTATCCCATAGTAATATTTATTATTTAATATACGAGGCCGTAAACATTTTACAAGAATTTGTGCGCTATATGTAATACTATCAACATTAGCCACTCTTAGAAATTAACGATAAAAACATAAGAGAATTTGCATGAATCAGAAATTCGCCCCCCTTTGCCTAAGAGGCTTGACAAATAGAACGTGTTGTTTCCTGTGCCTCATTTCTTTTTATTTTCATTTTCTAGAAGTTTACTTGTAACAGATCCTAGGTAAACACAGTTTCTATAGCAATGAACTTGAGGGAAATAAGATACGTAAAATTTTTATGTACATCCCTGTTTCAGAATTGCCTAATAACCCTTTGTCAATCTAAAAGCCCTGCAAATTACCTACAAAGAATGGGGATAATTATAGAATTTTTAAAAACCGGAAAGAGGAGTTAATTTGCTTTGTTTTCAACATTTATAGGGTTACCAAGCTTCACAAACAGCAAAATTCATAACCATGGGATGGACTACTAACCAACCCTAAGCTTGGTGGACTGAATCACATTTTAGACTGGAGTGTTTATATGAACCCTAATGAAATGGATTCCTCTTCCCCCAAACACCATTTTCACCCCTCTGTTCTACGGTTTGGTTTCCCTTTTTTTATTTAGCGTCTAGTGATGTTGATATGCTGTACTTGGTGATAAGTTTGTTATTTTTTTCGCCCCCACAAATAATTATAAAAACCTTTTAGCTGTGTTATTTTGCTGATTAGTCTGACCACAATAGAATTGGGAAGTCATGTTACTTGATAGGGCTATTATCCTCTGGGGTTCTCTTAAAGCATTTCTTTATACTCTCCTGTTGAGAACATGTTTTGGCTGTCATTGGTGACTCCTGTCCCTTAATTATTTGACCTCCTATTTCTCCTTGACTATGATTAGATAATCGAAGTGTGATACTGTAAGTTTTCTAATTCCTTTCTGGATGACAAAATATGTTACTGGTTACGTGTTTGCTTTATGTTGGTTCAAGAGTTTGTTGAATTCCTCATGGAAAGTTTTCTACAGCTGCTACAGCTATCACCAGGGGTACAATATAGCTAAGAATTTACAACATCTAGGAGTTTTGGGCTCCATCTTCCATGGTTCAGTTCCTGGAATTTCTGTGTCCAAAGCCCTTAATAGACAAGGACTGTGACATATCATTCTCTCCTCCTAATTTTTTGAGTCCCAAAGTGAGGTGCATTTGACACATCTGAAAAGAATCTGCGTAGAAAGAACATAGGGAATACGGTTTGGCATTTATATTTCATTGAAATATCTGCTAGTATTGATACTTGGATGATCTTAAATGTGGTACCTGTTCAACTGGTACACTGATATTCCTCGAAGCACTCAGATTATTTCCATTAATTCTGTCCGTCATCTGTCTTGATGATTATGGTATGTGACAATTTTAAGAAATATCAGGAGATTTTAGAGAACACGGTGCATGATACTTTATTTTATTTTTCTGAGATCTTTCCTATGCCTCTTCATGTTGCTCACAAGTGCTTCTGTTAAAGGATGTTTATTGAATCATGCAAGAGGCTCAAGATTATGAAAGGCTCTGATGCTATTGGATTAGGTAAGCATTTTTTGTCGTATTATTCTTGCCTTTTTGTTTACTGTTGTTGTAGAGCACCAATTAGTGAAATTTGCTTCTTTTAAAGGCATGCTTGGTGCAAGTTTTCTTCTGTGAGATCCGTTCAACATTTTCCTCGCATTTGTAAATGCAGCGTAGCAACTTCTTAATTTATACACTTACTGAAGTCATATAGACACAATTACTAATAACAACTGGAGACGATATACATTGTGAATAGGGTATAAGAATAAGTCATCAGGCTTTTGCTTATGAAGTCTTTCTTTGTTTTCTTGTGGTTTGCAGTAAAGTTTTGCTTCTTTTTTTCCCCTCTGAATTATTTGTATTTTATGTTTGAAGATTTTTATATTCCCGATATTTTAAAAGAACTGAAATTGACTTAATTGGGATGTGTAAAGAACATTCTATGTAATATATTGGAGGGTTTATGGCACTTTGTAGATTGACAAATTTTGGCTCGGACTTATCGTGTTGAACCAATTCAACTAAATGCGGATCTGTAATTTTGTTGTGCCGAACTGAGAAAATAGTGCACTTTTAGTTAGTCTGAATGCTGCTATTAGATTATAAACAATTTGCTGAATACGAGCACCTACATCAATGAAATACTCAACTTCTTAGTTTGACTGTAGAAACTTTTTACTACTTAGATTTTGAACAACATCATTTCGATACAAATTTGTTGTGAATGTCATGTGATGCTTGTAACATCTTTCATTTGTTTCATAGCTCCCAGGACCATGGAGAAATCCAAGAACCAGAACTAGCTTTCCACTGAAGGCTACTGCTTCCAAATGGAAAAATCCTGAGGAGCGAAAGGATAACAGATGAAAATATGATGATCTAAAGAATGACTGCTTGCTTGAGCTGTATTTGGAGAATCCTTTTGGTGTTTGTATGTGTTATTGAGTGCATTCTATGTTCTTGTTAATTTCTGTTTGTCTTAAGATTTATCGGAGAACAATGTTTGTGGAGTTCGTATTTCTTTTATTGGAACTACTACTACTACTAAGTTCGTTGTATTTGTTGAATGTGTGTGGTACTTTTTAGACAATTTTTTTTTTTTTCAACTGCTGCATGTTCTATAATTCTTGATTGTTCGGTTATTTATTTTTTCCTAGTTTTTCACAAATATTAATGTACTGAATTTGGCACGGCAATACACAAGACAGGTCTCCTTTTTAATATTTTTTTAACTTTTTAATTCATGTTATCAAATATGCTGCCATGGAATTTGAAGCGATAAACAAAGAGCGCTCTAAAAAAAGTACACTGTGAATTTAAGAATTAAATAAACAAAACCAATAATAGAATAAATGCTTGTGCATTTGTCTGAAAACGAAGCGTTGGAGGATTTTTGAGATTTTATTTAGGCAGAAAATTGTTAGATGGCAGTTATGTATGGTTGTTAATTGTCCTGAACCTTCTGCAAGCCGACAAGTTTCCAGACCATCTCCTGTAATAACTAGGTACAGACAAAACTGTCCTGAACCAATACTGTTCTCTCCATTAACCTCATAAGTGATGCTGGTTGATTAAATATGGATTCTAATCATTCTTTAATAAGTTCAAACCTTAATCATCAAACCAACGAATTTTAATTATTCACATAAAAATTAATATTGCGGCGTTTTTTCCTAGTTCAATCATGTAAATTCGACCAGCAATTCAGTATTTGCTTTCTCCGTTATAAGTGTTGTCTTTGACAAATCTTGCAGCTGTCATTGTAATAGAAACATAGCTGTTTGAAATTTATCCTTTCACAGATAAGTGTCGTGGACTGTGAAAACTTGAGCTTTTTCATCGTTTCGACAACTATAAAATTGATTTCGAGGTTCTATTAAGGTTGTTTAATTAGATACGTTCTCATCGTGACAAATAAAGTTCGCGCATAGAGAGGGAATTTTTACGGTGATTCAAGAAATTTCACTTATAGATAATTTATGCATTTCGTCTTTTCAATAAATAAATAAATCTCGCCCAGTCTTTCTGATTTTTGATATTTCCATTGGTTCTTGGCCATTATGAGTTTAAATAAGTTTTATTGGGCCTATTGGCCGGCAACATATTGGTGATTTTGACTGAGATGGTAACAACATGATGGCTAACTTTTTACTTTAGCACAAATTCATTCAACTTGGTTTTGTCTCCAACGCCATTCCATCTCATCTTGAGATATATTTTTTTGGGTAGGATAGTGTACCGTTCACTCTTGTCTAACAATCGATTGTAAACATGACCAACATGTTTTTATTGGAAGTGGAGTAACTATAAGAATAGCTGCTGCGATCATTGATTAATTGATGGATGGTTGGAGTTTTGTTAATCAGAGGTGTTGTTACTAATACTATGATTATGTCATAAGAAAACAACAAATACCTAAGCTATATTTGATTTTCTGGCTCTTGTTTGCCACTCCTACAAGTAAATTACCTTCAACACAGTGCAACTCAAAATTTACGCAAGTTCATAAAGTAACTCCTCTTAAAATTTTCAACCACCTAATCAATATGGCTATGTAATGGCAATAACAGACTCACAGATTCAATTCTTGAAGGTTTAAGCTTGTTTGACATGCTTGTCCAGACACAATAAAATACTTCAGAGATGATCCATCTCAATCGGCGAAGTAAAGTTATATCAAAAACACGCGCAAGCTAACATATAGGCTTCTAGTAGTTCCGCTTGTCGTAAGTTTTCCACGAAGACGAAAATAATTACAATCTTGATCTTGCGCTATCTATATGAAAGTGACCACTAAAAAAAAGTTCTATTATACTAAAATAATATGACGACAAGTCAACATGTTGATAAAAATCGAAGTTAAAGTCAATATTTACTTTTAACTACATATTTTCACGGAACCCACAATTTTTTAAAACTTTTCAACCGCAAATTTCATCAACTTTTATCATTAAAAACGTGATTTTTAACCAAAACAATAAGGTACTGTTTGACTCTATCCAGTTCAACGTTCCAAATGTGTGATAATAGTTCTCCAAAAAAAAAAAAAAAAAAAAAATTCTTC